GAGGGTTGAGTAGCTGCAGTCAGTGAGGGTATTGTGGTGGAAAGCCAGACTTCAGGCCTGACAGGAGGACAGGCAAAGTGCCTGACCTGCATGTGCACAACCACAGCAGGCAGTAGGCCCCTCGCTCACTCCCAGACCCAGCACTGTGCTTCCCTGGCTTCCAGACATATGGACTCTCCCCCTTGCCCACCCTTCACTCCCAACGTTTATGTCCTTTGTGCCTGGGGACGGGGGAGGGGCCAAGTTTTGGTCAGGTCAATTTCCTTTCTTACTAACTATAGAAATTTCAAATATATGAAAAAATAAAGAGAAGAAAGAACTAGCACTATGTAGTTATCAACACGGGGCCAACTTTGCCCACCTCCCCACCCAGGTTCATTGGAAGCAAATCTGAGATCACATCGTCACCTCCATGTATTTCAGTGTGTCTCTAAGATAGAGGGGCTCTTTGTCGTTGGCTTATTCTCACCAGCGGACTGGACTCTGGCCAGCAGGCCCTGGGCAGGCCTTTGTCCTGCAGAGACCCGGCCTGGACTCTGGCCTTCCTGCTCGCGGCTGCTGCAGGGCCAGCGTTCCCAGAGTCAGGCTCTTGCCTATAAATGCAGCAGTCCTCCTGTGCTGGAAGACCACCAGGACTCTGGGCTTCCTGAGCCCCCAGTTAGAAGGGACCCGAAGGTCACCCCAGTGACAGATCATTGACCGGCTAATGGGAGCACCACGTGCTGAAGCCTTCAGTTGGGGACGGCATGCATTCTGCCTGGTCCTCTAACCCATATAGACCCAGGAGGCACAGGCTCTTCTTACTTTACAGATGAGGAAGCAGCACAGGGCGAAAGGAACTGCCAGAGGGTCCGCCCGGAGCTGTCCTTGAGACACTGCCCTCTGTTCCTCCCCAAGGAGGCCATTCCGGGGCTGGTTTGGTTTCCTTATGGGCCCTGGCTCTGCTGTTTGCTGTGACAGAGAACCCTAGGGACTGCCTGTGGATCAGGGCCTTCCCGTGACCCGCCCAGCACCTGGCCCTCTTGGCCCCCCTGCTGTGCGTCATCTTTGGGCCACGCTGTTGTCACCTCCCTACATATGGGTTGAGTGGGCTGTCAGTTGGAAAGTCTGCTCATGGAGGTGAGTCCCCAGTGCCTGCGCACACGGGTGCTTTGTGCTTGTGGGGATACACGGGGGAGGAGGGAGTCAGGGGGCAGACAGTGCTTGGTTTTACTGAGTGAGCATTTCTGCCACCCTGCACCTTCCCTCTGATGTTCTGTAACTGAGAATGCTCTCGCCTCTGTGGTGGCCTTGGTTTAGAACAGCTTTACTGAGGTAGTCACAGTTTTGTGCCGTACAGTTTTGCCGTTTACAGTGAGCAATCGGTGGGTTTTGGTACAGTCGCAGAGTTCAGCTGCCATCACCACGATCAATTTTAGAGCATTCCATCGCCATAAAAAGAACACCGCACTCTCAGCCGTCACCCTGCCCAGCCCCTGGCGGCTGGGAATGTGCTCTCTAGACTTGTCTGTTCTGGACATTTCACGTAATGGACACACGTGTGAGGTGGGCTTTTGTGCCCAGCTTCTTTCCCTCTGCTCGTTTTTAATGACTAGTGTTGAACAGGGACAGCTGGGAGGACTTTGGTCCTCACAGCAACCCTGTGGGGTGGATATTGGCCCATTTTACAGAAGAGGAATGTAGGTGAGTCTGTGAGGCCTCAAGATTTAAACCAGGCTGGCTGGTCCCCCCTCGCTGGCCCTGGAGGGGGGGCTGCACTGCTTTGAGGGCAAAATGAAGAGGCCACTCCACGAAGGCTTTGCACGGTGGTGAGTCCCACGCAGGCCAGCCTGAGCCCTGGCCTTTGTCAGCAGTGGCCCATTCTGGAGGCCAGCACGGCCTGGCCACTCTCTGTCCAGGCGTGTCCCAGGGCTGTCAAGGCCAGCTTTGAGGGCACACTCGGCAAGCTGATGGCAGGAGTGTATGGATAGCACTTCCCAAGAAGGGTTCCTTAGAAAAGGGGTCCCTGGCTAAGTCAGCCTGGGAAAGCCCACATTAAACAAAGTTAAACAGATTTATCATCACAATTTTTAAAACATGACCCAGTGGGCATTATTTATTGTGAGAGGCCAATTAGCATGCAGGTTCCCAAACCCATTTGGCCACAGGCCCTCAGAAAGGCTTCGTGTCCTGTTCAGAGTTGGGGGCACCTGCTGCAGCTTTGCAATGAGTGGTGTTAACACATGTGAAATAGTGATGCATATCCTCAAGGGGAAGAACCAGAGTGGATAGCACGGACAGACAGACGGACGGGCAAAGTAATGGCTGCAGAGGGTGAGGCTGCTCCCTGGGTGTCTCCCTGGGTGTCTCCCAGGTCCAGCAGCCCTTCCTCAGTCCCTCAGTCCCAATGGCAGCTGCCTTCTTCCTAGGAACCTGGCCTCAGATGGTTGGTTCCTTCCTGCCATCCAGGGCACCCCTGGTGACGGCTCCTAAGGTCATGCCATCAGCTCCACTGGGCCATTTGCCACTCCTCCCTGGGCCCCTTCCCAGCTCCTGGAGGGGAGGCTGGGCTGGTTTGGGGGCAGAATGAAGAGGCCGCTCCACGAGAGCCACAAGAGCACTTGGCTGGTGACCCGGGGACTTGGGGACCAAATTCCTTGCTAGAATGCCACATCTGCCAGTTTCCAGGAATGCCAAGGGGCTGGAGAAACAGATCCCCTCCCATCAGACAGGACCTGGCTCCAGTGGGCTTGGCAGAAGGCCTGGGCGGCCGTGCCCTCAGTCCCACTGCCTTGCCCAGCAGGCCAGGCTCACACTCCCTTGCTTTTGAGAAGTTCTTTTGTTTCCAAACCTCTTGCCTTTCCCCTGCCCCAGGGATGAAAAAACTCCACCAGCTAAAGGGAGGCCCAGCCTGCTCCAGAACCCTAGCAGAGAGGGGCTGGGCTCTCAGAGCCGGGAGGAACCTTAGCATGTGGTCCAGCCCTCCGCCAGCCCCACCAGGCCCCAACTCCCCACTTCTCAGCTCCAGGACCCCACATTCACTGCCCACAATGGGGTCCTCTGTGAGACAGGCAGGAAGCCTGGCTGCAGCCCCTTCTCCCCTTAAGGAAGGGCCAGCCATGCTGCTCTGCTGAGCCATGGCCTCTGACTGCTGTGGATGGATGGGAGCCACGTTTCCTCAGCCACACAAGCAAGTGCCACAGGGGAAGGAGAGAAGTCCCTGCTGTCCTAACCCAGTGGCCTTGACTTTGCATTCTTGGCTACATGGACTGCTCCCCATTTAGGACAGGGATGGATGGAGAGGGGGCAGGGCCCTGCTACTCAAAGTGGTCCGCAGGCCAGCAGCATCGCATTACCTGGATACTTGTTCGAATTTGAGTCTCAGCCCCAGACCCACTGGGCCAGAATCTGCATTTACAGGATCTCCAGGCTGGAGAAGTCCTGCTCTAGCATGTTCTGCCTGGGTCTGCACAGGAGCTCCTGCTGTGTCCAGCAGGACGTGGCCATAACCTCCTGAGGTGCTTTCAGCAGGGGCTGGGCTCCGAGTCCTTCAGCCCCCAGGAAGCGCAGGGGTCTTGCCCCGTTAGAACTGCCTGCTCAAACCGAGAACGTTTTGTTTTCCCTGGGCTGTTTCAGGTCAAATTGCATAGCCTCAGATTTCATTTTAGAGAAAAAAAATGGCTGCAAAGATGAAACTAGAGCCACAGGCAGGCCTTCTTCAATAAAGCGCCTTGGAAAAGCCACCATATTCCACGCGTGCTCCAATCTCTTCGGACGGGACAGAGCCCCTGTAAAGAGCACGTTCCTCACGCTTTACATATCGAGGATTCCGTTGGCTGCACGCCGCAAGGTTTAGACAGTGTACACCTGGTGACATTTGGAGACGATTCCTGAGAAGGCTGAGAGGAATATTTGGTCTAACCTGACATTACATCCTCTGGCTAATTGCTCTGTCTTTTGCCAATATACCATTTGTCTGTAAAACACTCAAGCCTAAAAATAGCTGCTGGGGCCTGGTGTCATTGTGGATGAAGGGCAGCTGCCCCATTTCTTTGGCTTTCAGACATCCTCAAAGTGTCACAAGGAAATGTCATCCCAGAGGAATTTGCATGGCTCTTTAAACCTAAATCCCCAGCCAGGCAGGCAAGAGAAAGCGAGAACTTTGCGGCAGGGCAGGTGGGGCCTTGTGAAGTGACCGTCTGACACTGCTATGGTGACCTCTGCCCAGGGGTCACACCGCTTAGCAGGCAGGCCACTCTTGAGTGAAAGGGGGTGCCATTTATACTCCCCCCAGGTCAGCAGGCATGAACCAGGATCATCCCTGGCAAAACCCAGCCTTTGGCCAAATCCAGGCTCATCAGTTGGCTCCGCCCCTCAGCGTGGTGACCCTGCTTCTCAAGTTGCTCAGAGGAAGGAAACAACAAAAGGGGTGACAAAGACTAAGGTGCCACTTCCTGGGCATCCGTGCTATCCAGGGCTCCCTGCCCACAGGGGTCAGCGTTGCTCCCAGTACAATGAAATGGTCTTCTCAAGGCCACATGGCCAGCGCAGTGTTTGTCCCCACTGTTCTTTGGGGCAGAGACTGTGAGCAACTGGCATTCCTAGTAGTGGAGCAAATGTGGGGCCCCAGCAGGGTCCCTCTTTTCCTTCCTCTTGCTTGGCTCTGCTTTAGGCCTTCCCTTCCACATTTCATATCAACTGCATCTCCAGCTAAAATTCATTGCCAAAGAGGCACCAGGTATGGGATTCTACTGCTGTGAGCAGTGATGTGGGGGTGCCCACAGGGCCTGGCCAGTTTCCTATTGGCTGTGTCCCTGCAACCCTACAAAGGCTCTTTCCTGGTGTTCCCCTCTGCAGAGCTCTGCCATGGGAGGCTCCCTGGCCCCTCAAGGCATGTTGGCTGGCAGACAGGCGTTGCCTGGCACCCAGGAAGTCCCAGGATGTGGGCAGAGGTGGGGCAGGGCCCACAGCCTTGTGTTCAGCGCATCTCTAACCTGCCTGTTTCTGTGTGTGGCCCACAGCCTGAGACTGAGGACGAGAAGAGGCGCTTTGAGGAAGGCAAAGGGCGGTACCTGCAGATGAAGGCGAAGCGACAGGGCCAAGCGGAGCCTCAGCCCTAGACGCCTCCTGCCGCTGGGCCAGGAGGAACCCCAGCACCTAACCACTTAGAAGTTACCCCCTTGGCCAAAAGCCCAATTCACGTTGAGAGCTGGTGTTGTGTGCAGTATTTGTCTCGCAGTGTTAACCTGTCTTCCTGAAAACTTGTACACCAAAGCTTTATATCATTCCAGTGTAAGTGCTACACAGTATTGTCCCTGACACCCGAGGCATTCCCCAGGGCCCCGGGGAATATTCCACGTATACTGTACTGTCTGAAAAGACTCCAGCATCACTAATAAAGCTGCTGTTTGGCTGGACCTTTGTCCTGGGTCGTCTTTGTCTTGGGGGCTCCCATGGGCTTGCCTGCCTGCCTTCCTGAGCCTGCCCCTCTGGCTCCCAGTACCTGCATGTACCCCAGAACCTCAGGCACAGCAATGCCCACTCATGTTTGACCAATGACTTGCTGACTAGAGAGAGCACCCCTTTCCCTGGGGCCCTGGTTCCATATCCTGGCCCCGAGGCCCCAACAGCACCCCACTTGCCCTCTGTCTGGCTTACGCAGGATGGCAGCTCTGAGCCTTGTGTGGCCCTCCCTTGTGTGAGGAGGCAGGGAAGTGATGGGCAGAAAGAGCTGGACGCAGCCCAGCATGGGGCCTCTTTTCAGTAGAAGCATCCCCCACACCTCAGCTCCTCTCAAAAGCAAGTAGGGACTCTGTGGGAAGGAGCCTCCCAGCTGGTGCGAGGGCCCCTGTGTCTGATGTGGAAATTTCCCCAGCCTTTCCGGTAGGGAGGGCGTTGGCATGGCTTGTGGGGTGGGGGTCTGACGTACCAGTGTGAGCCTGTGTGGGTATGTGGTTGTGTAAGTGCACATCCCTGTGTGCATACCTCACTGTCCAGCAGTCTCGGGACAGATAAACTGCTGAGGCCACTGCAGGGACCAGGCCCCCAACCCCACCCACAGCTAACACCCCTCCACCAAGCACACCACGAGACGGTGCCTGGAAGAATGTTCCCCACTCAGGCTTGTCCCTAAAGCCTGGAATTGGAGACTGGCCGCCAACATCTGCCTCACACAGGCTCCCTCAGGCCCTGAGAGGAAACTCAGCTCCAGATGTGGAGAAACACTGGCCAAGAGCTTCAGAATCTGTCTTGGGTCCCAGTCCTGGCTGACGGGGTTATTTCCTGCCTGGGAACGGGGAGGGAACATGCTCACCACAGGAGGCCTCAGCAAACCCACCCTGGTCCTCAGCCCCCTGGAGGGCCTCCCCAGCTCCACCCATGCCCTGTGCTGCCAATCTTTAGATTGGGAGTGTCCTGGGCCAGGAGCAATGAGGCCTCCCTAAGCAGCTGGACCAGCCAAACCAAGGTCTGTTGAAACCAGAGCCTGTCAAGCTGACCCCACAGTGTCTGAGCTCTGGGACTTCCTGAGGAAGGTGGGACCCCAGGGCACCTACATCCTTCATAAGAAGGTGGGCCCTGGCCTCAGACTCCCTAGTTCAGCCTTGGCTTGGCCACTCCTCTGTGGCTTTGAGCAAGTTAGGTACGTAACACCCACTTCCCAGGGCAGATGGGAGGAGCCCAGGCTAGCATAGCACTTAGTCTGAGTCCTCCAAGGCAGCTGGGGGAGGCCCACCTCCCACCTGCCCCCAGGGACTGCAGAGCCCTGGGCAGGGGCATTATTAGACTACAGCCGGTGAGCAGGGCTGGTAGATGGACTCTTGAGGCCACAGGCCTGGGGCAGCAGTGTGACCCGTTTGCCTTAGAAATGCCATGCTCGATTACCAGCCTCCCTATACCAGCCTCCCACTGCTGGGAGCCTATTTATAACCAGGGCCACCAGGACAGGGAGCTAGCCTGTCCACCCAGAAGCCACACACACTGAGTACATGGCTCCCCCTTCACCATTCCCACTTCATTGTGGAGCTTTCTTATGTAAACACTTTCACTTCTGTCTTACAGGACTGGCTCTAAGTGCCCCCACCATGGGCCCCCTAGAAGCTGTCCCTCACTCTCCAGCTGCTTGAGGGATGTGGAAATGGTGTTGGCAGGGGCAGTAGCCAGGCTATGGGGTAGTGCAGACAGCACTAGCTGTATTTGGTTGGATCTTGTCCTGGGCAGGTGCCCGCCTTTCTCCAGACCTGCCTTTCCCCAGACACAGGGCTGCCCATTCATGGGCAGGGCCGAGCGGAGCTGGGCAGTCCAGAGTGTCTCTGGAGGTCTTGTGCCAGGGTGTGCATGGTCACAGGCTTCCTAGAAGAGGCAGGTAGGATCCTCTGCCTGGATAGGAGGCTAAGATGTGAGTGGCCACTCTGGTGACTCAAGGGGTCTCCAGAGGCCCCTATCAAGGGGACTAATTGGGTTTTCCCCAGATGTCCCCCAGCCTATGTATGACAGCCTGTATCTCTCTTCAGGAGTGCTAATGGGGGAGCTCCTGGGGAGGAGGAAAGGGAGAGGGTCAGGGGTGCTGGCTGCATGGTCAGTGGTCCCAGCTTGAGAGAACATTTCTGAGCTGGAGCGAGGAAGGGACAACCACGCGGCAGCCCCTGGTCCATTCACTTGATTCCCGCGGTGGACCCCTAATGCCCAAGGATAAGTCTGAATCATTTGTTTGCTCAGCCTCACGTCTTCCTGCCCCGGTGCTGGCCCCGAACGCAGTTCCTAGAAGTTGCTTGTTCTCAGGGCCCCCCACCTGCTCTTCTCCACACCATTTTTCACCTTAGGCGTGTCCTCCTCCAGGAAGGCTTCCCTGAGCCTCCCACCCCGGTCCTAGGTTCTCACTGTCCATTCCTGTCCAGGCTCTATTGGCTCCTGGCCTGGGTGGTCCCCAAGGGGTTGAGTCAGCATCGGGAGTGGGAACCGACCCAAGAGGGCAGTTTTTGGAGGCGCTGCGGTCCCTAGGGCGGCTTTAGCCCCGCGGCGGGGGTTGGGAGAGACAGCCGACCCACAGACGCTCGGACAGACGGCTACGGCGGGCCGCGCCTCGGG